TTGGTGAGTAGTGACTGGGCTCTTCAAAGTTTCTGAACTGCCACCTAAGGTGCAACTATTGGTTTCTCTGTGTGTGGAAAAAAGAAGAATGGTGTAAACTGAAGATGCTTGGAATTAATTAGCCCACTGGACTCATGGAACACATGAACATCAGTCTTCACGACTCTGAGACCAGAAGAACTAGATGATGTCACTGTTCTGAAAGGCATCATGTAAGAAGTTCCCAGATGAAGTGGGAGAAGATGTGGAACAAAACTCAAAATTGCCTAAAAGACTTTGACTCTTGGCTATGCTTCAGATCTAGAACAGAAGTCACTTTCATGGCCCATATTTTCAACCAAGCAGTAGAGAGGTATACAGGGGGGACAACAACACTAGTAAGGTATGTTCACCAAGGAATGGTCAACCATTCAAGATCAAAAGGACAACATTTACCTAAGGACAAAGCTCAGAAGTTTGGGAGGGAGGTAGGAATGGAAGTAAGAACCACAGGGAGGGAGCGGGATCACTGTTGTTGTGTGGAGGGGATTGCAGTCGTTGAGATGAAACAAAGTGTGTAATTTGTTGAGTGTAAAACTGATGATCTGATCTGTAAACCTTCACTCAATTCACAATAAAAACCTTCAAAAATGTATTAGGCATTATATGTTATGTGGGAGAAAGGTTTGGCAATCTTTCCTTATACATTTCAGCCAAGAAAACCCTATTTGGTGATTCTACTCTGACACATCAGGCCTTTATGAGTTGGAATTGACATAATGGCCCCCAACAAGAAGGTATAATACATTACATGTAATAAAATATGTATGTAAAGTGTAAAATCACCCAGCTGCGCATCCCTGGATACCAGTTGAGCTTTGACTATTTTAAAACATGTCTCAAGCTTCTTGTCCTCTATAGGTAGGTGTCTGCTCCAACTTTCTTCCTGACTGCTTACCTCGGAAGAACCCGGCATGAGGCTGCAGAATTTTCTAGAGTTGTGCTGACAACGCACTCCAGCGCAGGGTGGTGTGTTTGCAAACCATCATACACTGCGGGTTGGCCACAGTCCCAGACACAATACCTGCTTCTGGACCACTGTTTATTTGGGCAGACATGCTGCACTGTTTTTTGGCTGTTCCTCAAGGAGCAGAGCAGATGGTGTTAGCAGCAGTGAAGTTCGATCGGCACAAGAAAAGTGGGTGTGAAGACGTAGGTTTAGTTCTGACTTTGTGTCTTGGGCAGCTGCTTCCCCTCTGGGAATGTCAGCATTTTTCTTACTGGGCCAGTGGTGGAATGCAGAGACCCTGGATATGAAACTGCTTTATAAACCCGAGGGTGCATCCCAATCTATTGCTGCCTTACTGTGTGTGCCATAGAGCGAATTCTGACTCACGTGACTCCAGAGGACCGACTAGAATTTCCCCAGAAAGTCTCCCAGGCTGCAAACTTCACGGAAGTAGACTGCTGGGTCTTTCTCCTGTGGAGTTGCTGGTGGGTTCAAATCCCAGATCTTTTGGTTAGCAGCCGAGTGCTTAACCCTATCATCACCAGGATTTCTTCAATATGGTGCCCACTACTCTTGGTGGTCTCCCATCCAGGTACTAACCAGGTACTTTTAAACATGAACTACTCCTCAGACTCCTGGTGTGGCGCTGTAGGATCAGATCAGCACTGGACTGCAAACCACAAGGTCGGCAGTTCAAACCCACCAGCTGCTCCTTGGAAACCCTGTACAGGGTCATTATGAGTCAGAACTGACTTGACGGCACTTAACAACAACTCCTCAGTCATGGGCACTCGGTAGTAGTAACTCTGGGTAGTGTAAATGCTTAAGTGCTTGACTATTAGCTGAAAGACTGATGACTTGAACCTACCCAGCGTTGCCTCAAGAGACAGGTTTGGCTACCTGCTTCTGAAAGGTCACAATCTTGAAAATCCCATGGGGCAGTTCTACTCTGCACACATGGGATCGTCATGAGTCAGAATCAACTTGATGACAACTCACAGGCACGACAGCAGCAGCCTAGAACTGCCACAGTGCATTATGTACAGAGAGTTCGATATCAGGTGGACCAACCCTAGTCCAACCCAATGCCATGTGAGGGACTGGAGGACTAAGAAGACCTCGTGGGGTGTTTGTTTGTTTGAAAATTTTGGCTTAAGCGTGGCAACGATTGTGATGTTGGCCCAGGATGGGGCAGTGTTTCATTCTGTTGTGCATAGGGTCCCTGTGAGTTGGTACCAACTCGATGGCACCGAACAACAACAACCATTTTTTTAAATGTGTGACAAGTGTTATGATACAACTTTTCTAACCTCTGTTGAATATTTCTTCCTTCACAGATCATCCAACATCCCAGGGAGGCTAAGGGTAAGCCAGATATTGATGTTGCTGTCAATCACTTTGTACTCCTAGCGACCCCATAGACAACAGACTAAAACACTGCCTCATGCCGCACCATCCTCTTAATTGCTATGTTTGAGCCTGTTGTTGGAATGAAAAAGGAACTCCTCATATTCATTCACTGTGCCAATCCATCTCCCCGAGAGTCTTCCTCTTTTTAGCTGACCCTCTACTTTACTAATCATGATGTCCCTTTCCAGGGACTAGTCCCTCCTGAAAACATGTCCAAAGTTGGTAGGATGAAGTCTGTAAGGAGTACTCTGACTATACTGCTTCCAAGACATATTTGTTTGTTTTTCTGGGAGTCCATGGTTCAGCATTATTCACTAACACTTCTTTCTTGGTTTTCCTTATTCATTGTACAGCTTTTGCACACATGTGAAATGATTAAAAATACCATGACTTCGGTCAGGCGCACCTCAGTCCTCAAAGTGCCATCTTTGCTTTTGAACAATTTACAGAGTTCTTTGGCAGATTTATCCAATGCAATATAGCAACTGAATTTCTGAGCCACTTGGGATATTTCGCACCACCATTGACATCATACTTAGTAAAGTGAAGGGTCACTGACAAAGAGGAAGACCTTCAATGAGATGGACTGGCACAGCGGCAGCAGCAATGGGCTCAAGCAGAGTCAAAATTCTGAGGCTGGTGCAGGACTGGGCAGTGTTTTTATTGTACATAGGGTCACTATGAGTCAGAACTGACTTGATGGCACCTAACAACAACATTCCTAAAGAAGAGGAGATCTGGTAACACAGTGGTTACGTACTCATCTGCTAATGGAAAGGCTGGTGGTTCAAACCCACCAGCTTCCCTATGGGAGAAAGATATGGCTGGCTGCTTTCACATGATTATAGTCTTGAAAACCTTATGTTGTCAGTGCCATCAAGTCTGTTCCGATGCATAGTGATCATGTATAAGGTTTCCAAGGAGCGGCTGGTGGGTTTGAACTGTCGACCTTCCAGTGGTATAAGGTGGCTATGAATTGGAAATGACTCTATGGCAATGGGTTTTGGTTGATTCCTAAAGATGACCTGGCTGGGCAGAGCTTCCCTATAGCTCTTAAACTGTCCCAGAAGGAAACTGAGAGTAGCTTTCTACCTTGAGACACAGATGAACTGCCCCTACTATCCTTATCCTCTGATCTACAAAATGCAAATTTATTCCTGTCACAAACCCTTACTCGGATACTCAATAAATGCAATTAGCCATCCACACTCCCCTGGAGGTAGCTGTGTAGGACATGTTTATTTATATCTCTGTGTTTATACTGATATACACACACAACTTTCTGCTTGATCTTCCCATGAGATCACGAGCTATTTAGGGTTGGACCATCGTATTAAATATACACATGGCACTGCTAACGCTAACAGGATGTTCACCAACCACGTGCAAAAGACCTGCAAAGCCATTTCTCTTCTCTTCTGCGGGTCTGCTGAACTAGCAGCCATGGTTCTCATTAGGGGCTGGCTGCGTGTTTGTTGCACATGGAAAAGTGATATTGTCTCATGCTTGCCCTTTGTCCTTTATTAATAACTGGATGCCAAAGTCAAGCAGATTGTATACACCTCTTTGATGTGCTAAGAGCCTTTAGTGGAAGCAATTAAATAAACAAACCAGCAAGTTTATGCTTTACAGCATCCGAGACATTTCTGAGTCGCTGAGAAACCAGCAAATTGCATGACCTTGGGGCTAATAAATACCATCTACCTGGATGCTACACAGTTGTTCCGGAAGTCAGGTCCCCAGGTCCACCACGGGGCAATCTCTGAGCGTAACCATGTTGTTACTGCAGACTTGGTAATCCATCAGACATGGAAGCCTTTTATAAACCGAGTCAGTCCTCACCAGCTATGATACATGGCACCAACATGTTGTGAACTGTAGAACGCATTACATCTAAAAGTGTCTTTTAAAAATGATGTTTATTCCTCACATGTGCCTTGAATGCCAGCATTAGCTCAGAACTGCCAAGATGCCCAGGCACATGGAGCGCAGACAAAGCCATGGTTTAATCTGTAAATGTGAAAATTTAGCCACTGCAGAAATCGAGTTGATGGGCATTTATGGAGAGGAGGTTCTCCATCAGATACAATAAATCACACCAGTCTGTCCGGGTCACGTGCTTGCCTCCTCTCCCTGGACCCTACGTTCACCATCATGGAACCAACCCACGCGGACTGGGTGACTTCTAAAAACAACAGTCAACGTCAGGAAGTTGGGTAGTTTATACTTGGCTGCGAATCTAAAGGTTGGCGGTTCAAACCCACTCAGTGGCTCTGCGGAACAAAGACTGGGTGATTTGTTACGGTAAAGACCATAGCCAAGAAAACACCGTAGAGCAGTTCCACTCTATAACGGCACAAGAGGGGCAGCTCCACGGGTAGCCAACACGCCTCGCCTTCATGTGAAAGTAGTGAGTTCTAAGTGAGGTCTCCCACGCAAGTACAACTCAGGTTCTTTGAAACATGAATTGCTCTTCATCCAACCCACGAGGTCAAGGTTGAAGGAGCATTTTCTTACTGCTCCCACATAAGTCTTCCACTTTTGCTCCACCACAGCCTCGCTTTATTGCCCTGGATTTTTGGGGACCCGCCCGTGCACCCACCTTCTGTTTCAGCTGCAGCACTGTCTGCTTCATCTGGTGGAACTCTTTGCACGAGGCGCAGCACGTCCGAGCCTGCACAGCGTTCTCGGTCTTCTCGTCCGGCCCTGCGGAGGCAGATGCGTCCGTAAAGCAGGCAACCAGAAGAGTGCAAGGGCAGGGTGAGTGAGATCTTAAGGTTCTGGGGTTACCTATGGCATGCCCAGGTTAGGGTGCAAAGAGGAGGAAAAGAAGGCAGTCCTAGCTGTTGTATTTTAGGTTCAACTGCTCTTCTTTAGGGTTCTTTGACATGTGAAGACGTGCCCCATGGTACTTTTTAGGAGACGGCTCCATAAATCAGTTGGGGGTTTATACTTCCCTCTAAGCTCTGGTAGCGTAGTGGTTATGAATCGGGCTGCGAACCTTAAGGTCAGCGGTTCGAAACTACCAGCTGCTCCGCGGGAGAAAGATGAGGCTTTCTACTCCCGTAAAGATTTACACCCTCAGAAACCCTGTACAGGGTCGCTATGGGTCGGAACCGACTCGATGGCACTTAACAACAACAACAAGGTCAATTTTAGGAGCCCAGCTGGTACAATGCTTAAGCACTCAGCTGCTACCTCAAAGGCCAGAAAATCGAATCCAACAATCATGGGAGAAAGGAAAATGTGTGGGTTCGAAGCTCCAATCTTTTGGACAGCAGTCCAGCATGTAACCACTCTGGGTGGTATCGGAGCTCCTTGACTTATTATCAGTATTCTTTATTGTTATTGTTGATATTATCTATGAAGTTCTCTAAAACTCAGGGAGTACTAGGAAGTACTTTGCTCTATTTTTTGAGAGGAGCTCTCTGATACTCTCTGAGGACTTGAAGATAAACAAGGACATGTGCTTTCTTTGTGTGTGGACACAGGGATTGAACAAGCAATTCTGAATTGAGGTTCATCAATTCTGTGCCTTTAACAAAGACTGCAATGAATAAGGAAGGTCTGCAAGGAATTGATACATTTGAATTATGGTGTTGGCAAAGAATATCGACTATACCTAGGAGAGCCAGCAGTACGAACAAATCTGTTTGGCCGGATTGCTCCTTGGACGCTACAATATTGATACTTTGTCTCTCGAACTTTGGTAATGCTGTCAGGAACAGCCACTTCCTGGAGAAGGACATTATGCTTGGTAAAATAGAAGGTCAGTGAAAAAGAGGAAGATCTTCAGATGGATTAGTATAGTGGCAACAAGAGTGGGTTCAAACATAGTAACAATTGTGACGATGGTGCGAGACAGCTCAGTGTTTCCTTCTGTTGTAACACAAGGTCTCTATGAGTCGGAACCAACACAATGGCACCTAACTATAAAACAAAGACAATTTGGTCCTGACCCAAGCCATGCTATTTTCAATCGCCTCATATGAATGTGACGGTAGGACAATGAATAAAGAAGATTGTAGAAGAATTGATGCATTTGAATGATGATGTTGGAGACGAATAGTTAAAGTACCATAGACTACCAGAAGAACAAGCAAATCTGTCTCGGAAGAAGTACAGTCAGAATGTTCCTTAGAAGCCAAGATGGTGAAGCTTCGTCTCATGCACTCTGGCCATGTTATCAGGAGGGACCAGTCCTTGGAGAAGGACATCATGCTTGGAAAAGTGTAGGGTCAATGAAAAAGAGGGCAACCTGCAACAAGATGGACTGCCATAGTGGTAGCAGCAATGGACTGAAACACAACAGTTGTGAGGATGCTGAAGAACTGGGCAGTGTTTTGTTATGTTGTATACAGGGCTGCTATGCATTGGAACCGATTCGCCACCTAACAGGAACAACATCAAATGCAGAGTTAAAATAATCGTGGGTAAGCATCTTGATTTGGCGCTGTAAGATAAATACTTGACTGAAAATTCAGTTTGAACCACAAGGTCAGCGGTTCAAACTCACCAGGCATTTCTTGGAAACCCTATACGGGGACACTGCTATGAGTCAGAACTGACTCGAGGGCACTTAGTAACATGTTACATTAGTAATTTGTAAAGAAATCTGCATAGACATCTCCAATTTTGTATGTGCTCTGGCCCCTCACTTAACATTGTGTCATGTGACTCTGAAAAGTCTGGTGAGGTTTCACAGAACATTTTGCTGCAATTTGCTCAGATTTTAGAAGTGTAATTTTAGGGATTAAACACCAGGGGGCACGGAGCTCTAATTTTTACTGAAGTTGCTGCTGCTGCGTGCCGTGGAGTCGGTTCTGACCCATTGTGACCCTGTACGGGGTTTCCGAGGCTGTAAATCTTTACAGGAGCAGAAAGCCTCATCTTTCTCCCGCGGAGCAGCTGGTAATTTCGAACTGCTGACCTTGCGGTTCACAGCCTGATTCATAACCACTACGCTACCAGAGCTCCTTGAGCAACGTGTAAATTTTAAGGATTAGGAATATAACTCCTGAGATACCATATTGGTAATATTGAATATGTTCTAGAAATCTAAAGACTATCTCCAATGCCTTCCCTGTGGGCATTGTCAGCTATGAACCGAGCATGTTAATTTGTAAAACTGATTGTTGTTGTTGTTGCTAAGTGCCGTCGAGTCGATTCCGACCCATAGTGACCCTGTGTAGGGTTTCCAAAGAGAAGCTGGTGAGCTTGAACCACCAATCTTGGAGTTCAAATGGCTTTGCAGTCTGGCGCATTAATGCACAGTGCCATAGCACATGATAATCACCTGGCGGCGCTCAACTGCTAACTGAAAAGGTGGTTGTGCGAACGCACTCACAGATCCCTCACGAGAAAGACCTGGTAATCTTCTGAAGCTTCAAATCCATGAAACCCTCGGGAACACAGTTCCACTGGGAACCATCTGTTAGAATTGACTTGATGGTACCTGTATTGGCTTGGTTTTAGGGGCCTTTAAACATTCAGCTGACTCTGCTGTACCCACCTACCCAGGTCAGTGTTTGCTAATGCTCCCCAAATGGTTCCAAGGCTGAGCCCCCCTGATCTCAGGGTGGTGGTGCTGGGATGGGACACAACACCTGGCCTTCTCTGACATGCTGGCTTGTCAGAAGTGAGGCTGGAGGTCCTGGTCACTGATCAGAAAATAACAGGGGTTGAGACACAGAGACAGGCAAGCTAATTGTCACAGAGCCAACACGGTCTTCATTTGTCTCCCTGTTCCTGCTACAGACTCCCTGGGGTGACTAAGCTGGCTCCAGCCCCACATTTCCAAGAGAAATCAAAGTTTCTGAACCAGCCACTCTTGTGTGTTTACCAGACAGCTTGAGTTCACTAACCCTGGGTGTGGACCGAAATCTGTCCATCCTCAGGGCAGTTCTGAGACACACAGTCCTCGGAAGGAGCTGCCTGTGTCTGATTTTAGATTCCTTCGACTCTAACGTGACAGAGATTGGACAAAGGCAAAATACCCCTTCCCTGCCACCACACACACACACACCACACACACACACACACACAACAATCAGGAAGAGGAAGCTTTTGGTCACGTATGTTTATACTAATTATTATTTCTTCATTAATTAAAAAAAAACCCAAACAACAAGCCGTTGATGAAACAGCTGAGTTATTAGCCCGAAGCAGATGAGACCGCTTAGGGGTTCAGAGTGCGGGGACTCTTCAGGCCCCTGGCATTTCCTGTTGCTGAGCAAATGCCTGAATGTGTTAATTATGCGTCTGTTAGATGTGCTAGGAGAGCACTTTGCTTTTGAAGGTATGTCAGAGTCTTGGCTTGCAGTTGGATGGAGGAGGAGGGAACTAATGAGAACTTTCTGTTGGGTCACAAGCTGGGCAAGCGGCTGTGGTAGTTACGTTAAATCATGTCCACTTAGGGGAGAAGGGTCTTCACAATCCATCTAGTCCAACCCTCTCGTTTATAGCTGCGGGAATGGAGGTGCAGGGAGCTGGCCAAGTTCCCTCAGCTGGTTAACTGAACAGGCTTTGGTGACCAGCTCCAACCTTCAAGCTAGGTACATCTGGGGCATTGCAGCTATCAGATCAACCCCTCCTTTTTCCCAGACCATCCCAGCCAGTGACCACCTTCTCAACGGTGCCCCTGAGCTATGATTTCCATGTTCACAGCTTCCCAAGTGCCTGTCCTCATATTTTGTATGAGCCACACCAGTGACATCTCTCAAGCCTTATCCCTAAATATCCTGGCTATTGGTGTTGAAACCTCCTCTTTAAGATCCCAACGCTGGTCCTCTATACGTATGTGAGAAATTCAGTGGAGATGAGCTACTGAAACTTAAACACTGAGAAATGATTTTGTTTTTTGCTGTGGTAGTGAGCAATGGGAGGGTGGGAGGCAGTGGTGTTGTCTCAGGGTGGCTGTTTTTACATTTCTATGTTTTGAAAGCTATTTGTGGCTGTTGTATTTGGAGGAGGAGGAGAGGGAGGAGGGGAAAGGAGAGAGTTCACAACCTTGTTGACTTTCTGCTGCGAGTCTTGATATAAGGAGCCCACAAACGTGCTTGGCTGTTAGCTGAAACGTCCGACTGTGAGTCACTTGGATGACCCATCGAGTTCTGCCCCTGAGCTAAGATCTTTACAACAATAACTTACTATTTTCCAAACTGCATTTTTCAGGACACTAGTATCTGTGAGAGGTGTAGAGGAGTTTCTTAAGAAAATATTTTGGGAAAAGCAGGTTTAATGAAATTAGCAAAAAAATGAATTTCTGTGTTAAATGAGTTAATGAATGGCAGGCTCCCCGGGGGCTGTAAATAAGCCTGTGCTGAGAATCTCTAAGCGTGGACAGAAATGCAAAACCCAAACCAAACCCATTGATACGGAGTAAGTTCAGAACAGAACTTCCCCACAGGGTTTCCAAGGCTGCAGTCTTTATGGAAGCAATCTGCTACATCCTTCTTCCCAGGAGAGGTTGGTGGGTTCGAACCATCGACCTTTTGGTTAGCCGCCAAGTGCTTCACCACTGTACCACCAGAGCACCTGGATGTGTGCACACAGAACCCCTTTAAAGAAAGAAATGATTATAATGATCTCACAGAACCCCAAATCTCTGCAGTAATAACTGGGGAGAAATGTTCTCGTAAGGGGGGAAGGGGAAATAGTACTTTAAATGGAAGAAATGCTAGAGAAAGGATCTTTTGGTGCCAAAGCAAGCTGGCACAGATATACCCCTAATAATTATCAGTGCTCAGATTTTGTTGTTGGCCATAGAAGTTAAGCTGGTCATTCTTAGCCATAGAAGTTAAGCTGGTCATTATTAAGTTGGGTCTCTTGTAATTGACTGAAACTTTGTGTTTGTTGGAAAAATGTTCAGAAGCACAATTCATTTCTTAAAGAAGGAAACAAAATGAGTGTGGTGCCAGTACTGGTTTGGTTCGTACATCAAACTGCTAATCTCAAAGATCTCACGGAGCTTCCCCACCTACTACCCCCCCCCACCCCCCCACCCCATACACTGTGGAGAAGGTGAATGTCTCTCACCAAATCACTGGGTAGACTTTGCCATGCTGCTCTGATACTTCAGGGCTGTACCTCAGGGAAGCACACAGCAGGGAGAGTGTATGGGGCCAATGGCCTGGAGAATGGTCAAGAGGCCTGGTTGGTGAACCTAGGAATTATTGCAGGAGGTGAGGGTCACTCACAACAAAGAATTCAGCATATAAACTTTTATACCAGTCTCTGAAAATGTTTCCTGGCTTCTCTAGCGGACATGGTGTGATGGTTAATTTGATGTATTAACTTGGTTAGGCTACGGTTCACAGTTGTTTGGCTAAGCACAGGTCTAGTTGCTGCTATGTAGTAGTTGCATGGGTTTAAGTCAGTTAGCTTTGGCAGGGCAGATTGTTTTACATGTAATTTTACATAATGTAATCACTTTCCATAATGCAATCACCAATCATTTGAGAAGGGCGTTTCCATAGAATGTGTTTGCCTCCAGACTAAACAGATATTTTGGCAGCACTCACACACACACAAGCAGGGTAAGAAAGATGTTACATAAAGATGGTCTACAAGCCAAGCACCACCAAGGAACCAAGGGCTACTGACAGGGAAGTCTTCAGGACATGGCATCAGGATTGGAGGAAGACTCATTAACAACCTGCGATATGCAGATGATACAACCTTGCTTGCTGAAAGCAAAGAGGACTTAAAATATTTACTGATGAAGATCAAAGACCACAGCCTTCGGTATGGGTTGCATCACAATGTCAAGAAAACAAAAATCCTTACTATTGGACCAGTAAACAACATCCATATCAATGGAGAAAAGATTGAAGTTGTCGAAGATTTCATTCTTCTTGGATCAACCATCAACACTCATGGAAGCAGCAGTCAAGAAATCAAACGATGTATTATTGCATTAAGCATATCTGTGCACAAGACCTCTTTAAAGTATGGAAGAGCAAAGACGTCAGCTTGAGGACTAAGGTGCGCCTGACCCAAGCCATGATATTTTCAATAATCTCATATGTATGTGAAAGTTGGACAGTGAATTAGGAAGAATTGATACATTTGATTCATGGTGTTGGAAGAGAATGTTAAAAGTACCATGGGCTGCCAAAAGAACAAACAGATCTATATTGAAGAAGTGCAGCCAGAGTGCTCTTTGGAAGCCAGGATGTCAGGGCCTCAGTTTCCCCTGAGAGTCTCCCTTTCAATAAAGAACAGAGTCTAAGATAGAAGAGTTTATATTGACTTGATGGCTGTGCATTTGGTTTGGGTTTTTGTATCTCCCACCTTCCTTGCTGTGGTACAATTAATGTTGAGTTTTGGAAACGTGGCCCATGAACCACCATTTCTTCTCATTTGATCCTGGTACCAACAGCACTGCTTTCGGCTGCCTTCAGCACGCCTCTGGGTGGTAGGCATCAGCCACATCCTTCAGACCTTCACATGAGTCCCCAAGTCCTCCCCATTCAGACAAGATCCCACATTGCCCAAGTCTGAGCTGGCTCCACAAGGGGATTCTCCACCTCCTTCTAACATATGGCCGCTTCCTGTGACTCAACCCAGTTGTCCTCAGAATTTCACTTTGTACTTTTCCGCTGTGAAGCAGCTGGTCTCCAGCTGTTTCTTGTCCTCAGCTGATGGCGGCTGCCTGCCACTCCCTGTTTGAACCTCAGGCCTTGCCCAAGAATCACTATCTCCCGAGTGCCCCCTCACAGTCCCGGCCTTTTCCTTTGCCCTGTATTTCGTGGTATGTGGGCTGTGCCCTAGGAGCCCCCTCCCACAACTTCAACACCTTTCCTTACCATGATGGCCCCGCTTACCTCTCCTGAACACATCCTTGCCAAGTTCCCTATACGCAGGCTGGACTGGGGCACACAGCACCTATGGATGCTGGAACCCCCAGGGGACTAGCTCTCCGATATCAGCTCTCCGATATCTCCCTGGCTGAGGTGCCTCCTCTGAGCTTACTTTCTTCCTGCATGGCCTCAAGGCCCTGGGAGGCTGCCAGTCTGGGCAGCAGAGGCGGGTTACCCAATAAGCAAAGCAAGCACAGGTTTACTTACTAATCTGTAGTGAACAATATCATGTTTTTTCATCATGTCAAAGAGTCTACTTCTAGGTCTGGCTACATCTGTGTCTCTTCCAACCCCACAGCACTTTCCTACAGAATCAAAGCCTCTTTTCAAATTAATAATCCCTGACACAGATGGAGTATTCCATATACCAGGTAAGCACGGAATTTCTTGTATCTACTGACTAATCTGGAGTCCTGGTGTGGCGCTATGGGTTAATGCGTCAGACTACAAACCTGTTTGAACTGCAAGGTCGGCGGTTCAGGCTCACCAGCTGCTCCTGAGAAACCCTATACATGGTCGCTATGGGTTGGAATCAACTCGCCGGCACTTAACGACAACAACTGACTAATCTATAGTGAATGGTGGTGGTTGTGTGCTGTGGAGTCGCTTCTGAGGCATAGCAGCCCTGTATAGGATTCCAAAGCTGTAAATCTTGATGGGAGCAGAAAGCCTCATCTTTCTCCCAAGGAGCGAGTGGTAGATTCGAACTGCTGACCTTGTGGTTAGCAGCCCAACTCGTAATCCACTCTGCTATCAAGGCTTCTTAATCTGTAGTGAATAGTTGTATATATTTTTCACCCATGTGAAACTGTTCATAACAGATTAGTCAGTAAGAACAAATAAGCCTGTGCTTACCTAGTTTATTGGGTAATCAGTCTTTAGTTGGCCGTGTCCTGCCTTGTCCTTTCTGAAAGGTTTGTCAGCCATTGTCAGTGGAAACCACCTTGCTTCAGAACTCTGCCTAGCTGGCACACCCTTTGTCCTGCTCTGTCTACACAGAAAATCCTGGAGGGTAACTTCCAGAACCAACCCTGGAATATGGCAAAGATTGGCACTCTTTCCTGTTAAGGCTTTCCCTGGTACACCAGGCACATGCTTTCTGGGTTTCATTTTTTCCTTTCCAGTTTTAAATAAGGAAGTAACTCAACGTTCAGTTTGATAGCGTCTCTCAGTGACCAAGCAACTCCATGGAATCCAGTTAACAGAGTATATATCAACTTCTCAAACACTCTGTGATGAAGTGCCAGTTGTACAAAGTTTTCTCTAATTCATTGTAGACTGACACTTTTACAAAACACAATAAACACTAGAAAAATAAGACATAAAATCCAAGCATGGATTTCTGGACTTAGATAACATTTCTCTTGCAAATTGGTGTCAACATTTCTAAACACTCTCAATTTCTGTGTCTCTTCAATCATGAGCCAAATAATAAATAGTTCATGGATGGCACAGATCCATGGTTGAGCCTTTGAGTACTGGTGTTGTAGAGTGTTCCCTGTGATAGTTAAGGTTTTGTGTCAACTTAGTTTTACCAAGATTCTCAGCATTTAGCAGTTATCACCACCATGAGGAAATCTGATATGATGCAGTCACCCCCAAGATGTGATCGGATATGGTCATATCTCATGTGATGTAATTATCTTATGTGTTGTAAATCCTACTTCTATGATGTTAATGACACCAGATGCAATCCACAGGATTAGGTTGTATCTTGAGTCAATCTCTTTTGAGATATGAAAGGAGTGAGAAGTAAACAGAACTCAGAAGAAATAAGAGCCACGAGTGGAGAATGTTCTTTGGACCGGGGGTCTCTGTGCTGTGAAGAGCCAGGGGAAGATTGAGGCCAAGACACATGGAGATCCCCAAGGAATGCTGGGCCTCCAGATGTTGAAAGGAGACAAGGTCCTTTCTCCAGAGCTGACGCTCTGCATTTGGACTTCCAGCCTTCTAAATTGTGAGGGAATAAATTTCTGGTTGTGAAAGCCATCCATTCGTGATTCTTCTGTAACAGCAGCATTAGATAACTAAGATACTACATTACATGTGGGAGTGCTGGTATGGTGCTGTAGGCTAAGCAATGGACTGCTAACTGCAAGTTCCGTGGTTCAAACCCACCAGCCACTCCTCGGAAACTCTATGCAGGGTTGTCAGGAATTGGAACCGACTCTATAGCACAAAATCACAACAACAACCTTTCATGTCAATGCTTTGTATTTCTATTTCAGCCCATGTCTTTGAAGGAACACACTCTAGCTTCTCCTCTGCTCATCCCAGTTTGGCCTAAAGCACGTGATTAAGTTGTCCTGGTTTATCCTGGAGCATGTCACCTCTGCTTGGTAGAGTGCTTCTCCCAATACATACTGTTCACAACCCTTCTACTCTAAGTCAACTTAGAAGGGGCTTGATTCTCTATTCTACCTTTCTCTTACCCACCTACCACTTCCCTTACCCAGCTGCCCCTTCCTGCCATTTGCTGCCCAAGGAGCCCTGTGGGCCTTCCAAGAGTTAGGGGGCCAAAAGGACAATGCTGCACAGACTACTCACCAGTGTCATTGGGGTATTTGTCTCCCTTGGTGCACGTCTTCCCGTCTTCCTCCAGGATGTAGCCATCCCGGCATTCACAGCGGTAGCTGCCCAGGGTGTTGATGCAGATGTGTACACAGAGTGTCTCATTGCTAGTGACACACTCGTCAATATCTAGGTTTGAACAAATGCGATAAACATTCAGACAGTTTCAGAGAATTCGTTTCCCACCCAACAGGTGCCATTAGATTTGGCCCCTTGGTAAAATGTCTGCAAAGGACACTTTACCTGACCTCTACCCAAGAAGCCTGGGATAAAGCAGGAAGGCAGAAACATGGGCCATCTATGGAAAAAGCACCCTAAGCATTAGCCAATATGGTTCCAAAGGGATTTGGTGGTGGGGGTTGGCTGTGGTGTTGTCATTACCTAATTACAGGTTTGGTATCCACACTGTTAAAAGTTCAAAGTTCTCACCTATAAAAAATGATAATGAAGCCTACCTTAAATCCTTTGCAGGGCTTTTTAGAAGTGAGTTCATGAATGGCAACCCACCTGGACAAATACACAGTATAAAAATGATTTTTTTTGTAACTACTCTAATGTGTTAAGTAATTTTATGTTTTCCTTTATGGCTGGGGGTTCCAAGCAACATGCTGGTGACCCAGGGTCACTTAGGAATGGCTCCTTCCCAGCCCAGAGACACGATTGGACCTGGGAAAAGCCGTTTCTAATGAAAGCAAATAATCACCATGGGTCTTATGGAGAGAGTTTTTCCCAGGAAATTTATGCCTCATTGATGACCCAAGCAAACTCTTTATGAGCTGGGAAAATAAGCCATGGGGCCATCAAACAAGTAGCCATTAAATGCCCATGCTATCTGTGCACATCACAGACTTGCTCCCCAGCTGAATGGGGTGGAAACCAAACGTTTCCCACCAGGGGACGAGAGGGAGGCACAAATATGTTCCACATCCACTGGCTGAAGACACCAGGAGGCAACCGATGGGAAACAGGCCACGCAGCCAAAGACTGTGCACATGTGGTGGGCGGACAGAGTCGAGCCCTGAACTTTAGGATGCCAACGACTTCTCTGCCACTCCAAGGACAAGCTGCTAAGGCCCCACCTTTGGCAGGTTTGTGTGTGCCAAGGGAGAGAGGCCATTTCTGTCCCCTGGCAGCGAGGAGAGCACTAGGTCATCTGTCGACAGGGAAGTTGTAGCTAGGTCCTCCTATGTAGGTGCCCAGCCTGATTGTCTACCTCCTGCTTCCCAAGTCCCAAGGAACCAGGCACACTGAGGGTAGAGGGGACATGGGGACTGGGTGCTGGGGGAGGTTGAACTGGGACATAGAAACAGATGGAACTCCCAGTAGACTCCAAGTTGTACAGATCCCAAACTCCCGCATAGAAAGAATGGGCTGAGTAGTTACTGCAGACTTGTGCACGGGACCACCTGAGCCTCTCTTTGTAAGAGAGGCTATCAGTCTCCTGTCTCATTCACTCGGGGGGCTCAACCCCATTTTATTCTTATTGTCCAGCAGGAAGGTAGAATGAAGAAGAAAACATCAGAATCCAACTAAGTTAGGCCTTTTTTTTTGGTAGAAGTCAGGAGTTAGGGTTGAAAGATGATGCTTTCTACTCCAGCAAAGCATTGCAGCCTCAGAAACCCTATACAGGGTGGCGATGCGTCAGGATATAACACCACGCAGAGTTAGGGTTAGGTATATAGCTATTGCTATGTCTAAGCTAGGCCCAAAGGAACTCTGGTAGCGTAGTGGTTACGAATCAGGTTGCGAACCACAAGGCAGCAGTTCGAAACAACCAGCCGGTCCATTGGAGAAATATGAGACGTTCTGCTCCCGTAAAGATTTACAGCCTCGGAAACCCAGTACAGGGTCGCTATGAGTCGGAACCGACTCCACGGCACATAACAACAACAACAACAACAAAGGTAGGCCCAGAGTTTTGTGAAGCGTTTGGAGTATGGTCAGAGCAGTTGGGCTAGGAATAGAGTTTGGCCTAGTTTTAGGGTTGTTGTGGGTGGTGGAGGTATGCCGTGGAATCAATTTTTGACGTTTACCCAGGCTGTAAATCTTTACGGCAGCAGAAAGCCTCATCTTTCTCCCACAGAGCAGCTGGTAGTTTCAAAGTGGTGGCCTTGGGGTTAGCAGCCCAATTTTAACTATGCTATTTCCTCTTTTTCCATTATGTGCTGTTATTGTTGTTGCAAACTGATATCTCTAATTCCCAATTTTCAGTCTTGTATGTTTGTTTTACTTTGGGTTGTTCTTGTTAACTCATAAGCAACCCTGTATAAGGTTTCCAAGGAGCAGCTGGTGGGTTTGAACTGCTGATCTTGTGGTTTGCAGTCCAGTGCTGATCCTAAGCACCACACCAGGAGTCCTTACTTTAGGTTGTTGTTGTTGTTAGGTGTTGTCGAGTGGGTTCAGACCCATAGTGACCCTGTATAGGATTTCCGAGGAGCAGCTGGTGAGCTTGAACTGCCGACCTTGCAGTTCAAAGTGTACTTTGTAGTCCAGCACATTAGCCTACAGCGCCACACCAGAACTCCTTTACTTTGGGTACAATCCCATTTTTCATGCCTGTGGAGCACCACCTGGGGAGAAGCCAGGGGACCTATGGCTAGAACTACTCTGAGATGGGCAGACTAGGCCCCTCTAGGACTGTTCATCAGTTCTCTCTTAGGTCTGTGTACAGGTCTACTCAGTCCTCCTTCCAGCTGCTTCTCAAACTCAACTGTGCATAGGAACCCAGAGAGGCATTTGTGTAAATATAGATTTCTAGACTCACCTTTGTTTTTGTTGCTGTTTAGTGCCATTGAGTTGATTCTGACTTATAGCGACCCTCTATAGGGTTTCTGAGGAGCGGCTGGTGAGCTTGAACCACTGACGTTGCTGTTCAAACCGACTTTGTAGTTCAGCTCATTAACCTGTTGTGGCACACCAGGATTCCAGATTCATCTTAGAGATGTGATTTATTAGGTCTGGAGGGAAGGCCAGGGACTGCATTTTCTTTTCATTTTTTTTTTTTTTTAAAGCAAGAAGCCCAGATGTTTCTGAGACTGGTTAGCGATGGGCTGACCACACTTTGAAACATGTGGCTCCAGGGAATAATTAGCCATAAACTGGCCTCAGAAACTCAAGGCATCCACGGTTGGGAAGCTCACTCAGTGCAGAGGAATGGAACCAGCTGCTGATAATCGATGGTGTGGTTCATCTCAGCCGCCCAGGTGGCTGGCTTCAGGTGCCTCTGACTCACATCTAACCCGTCTGCCATATGGACACCTACTTCCTCCTTCCCCAACCTCTTTTGCTGGTCTTCTTCAGAGAGAACACATTTTTTTTTTTCCTTTAGTTATTTTTGCATTTGTACTTTGAGGACCACTTACAGTCCATTTCACATTATTGTAGCTTACACTTGTTAATGCTCCCTTCTTCTGCTTAGATATCTCAGTGCCAATTAGGATCTGAGTGGTCCCAACTCTGAAGAATACCTTGGGCATATTTTTAAAAATGTTTTGTGATATATCCAAATTATTATTTTTTAAAATAATAATTATGTATATAGGTAGCAAAACATTTTTTTTTAAAGTTTGTATTGTGAATTGAGTGATAGTTTACATGGGAGAACATCGGTTTTATACTCATTGTTTCATTGCAATGATCACAATCTCTTCTGTGCATCATCATTCAACAGTATTTGCTTCTATTCCCTCTGCTTTTTTTTTTTTTTTTTTTGGAGTGTGGGGGAGGGGGAATGTACACAAAAACTCTCAGGAATATATAATCATTTAAACAACCAAAGGGCACATTCTGCTAGCCTGTCTCCTGGCCACCAGCACACAGCCTTTCTCTTCCCATGAGTCTAGATTCCTCAGCTGCTCTATCTGTTCATGTCCTCATCTCTGCCTCCATCTGGTAGCAAAACATTAAAAAAAATCTTCACATTCATCATGATGAACTGTTCCTGATTTTTTCAATGCCCTTAACAAAAACAGGACATTAAAAAAAACTCATCATGGAAGTTGGTGGTCCCTAGGATAACATCAAACACAACTCCATTCAACAACTGTCAGGATTTGAGGGGAGCATCGTGGCTCTGTAAGATAAGCACTGGACTGCGAACCACAAGGTGAGTGGTTCAAATTCACCAGTCACTTCTCAGGAGAAAGATGAGATTTTGTTCCCACAAAGAGTTAAAGCCTCAAAACCCCTATACAGGAGTTGGAATGGACTTGATGGAATTTAACAGAAACAACAAAGAAGGGAAGATCAAGGCCACTGTGGGGACTGGCCACACTAATGAACACTGGTCAGCAAAAGACAGAACACCTGAACAAAGTGTAGTCTAAAGATTCCCAACACACCCAGGCAGTATGGCTTCTCCCGTTTCCGGTGTCTCTCCCGGTCGTATTTGTATCCTGGGTAACACGTGCACAACACTCGGCCGAAATTGTCTGTACACTGCTGTTCACAGGGAGCCTCCGCACAAACGTCATAGTCTGCAAAAGAAAGTCATGAGATGATGTCAAACACAGTGTCTCCTAATCACAGGAGGTGGCAGTGGCCTGGCTACCAGAACAGATGGTCTGGACTGGACTCTGCTTGTCGGGACCTGCCAAGTGTGACTGGCTACCTTGGTGGTTGTTAGGAGCTGTAGAGTCAGCTCGGACTCATGGTGACATGATGTGTAACAGAATGAAGTCTTGCCTGGTCCTGTGCCTTCATGATTTTCGTTATGTTTGAGTCCAGGGTTGGGAAATGGTGTCATCCCACCTCATTGCGGTTTGCCCTCATTTTCATTGACCCTCAAGGGCAGGCATGGGGGAACATCTGGCTTGCCAAGGCAACTTGGCCATCACATTAGGGGTGAGTTAATTGTTTGAGCAAATATAGCAGGCTGATTTTGAAGTTGATCATTATCCAAATGATCTTGTAAATATCCAAATGGCACTAGGCAGCAGGCATCCTGCTCTAAAAGCATTCATACTTTCAGGCTATGGGGTGTCTTCTAAGTGCACTGTGGTGGGGACCACAATGCCTAGCACCATAGCGATGAAAGCCAAGCATCTCTTGCAATTCCGCTCTGTTGTTTGTTCTTTGCCCTTTACTCACAGAGCAAAGATGCTTCAGATGGTGAGGCTCTGGGGGCGGGGTTGGGGTTTGGGGACTGTTCTGTCTTTTTCACTAACAGCCTTAGAGAGAGCGAATCCTTACGGCTGAACCACAGACCAGCCAGCCCTGATGATGAGCATTGGTGTTGTAACGTGGGAGTCAGGCAGGCTCAGAGAAGGATCAGGGAGGCTTTGGAATGGAAACGTGGTGAGTTATTAGGGAGCTGATGCATGTTTGCATGGGAGCGTGGTCTGCGCACTCCAGGGGGGTTACATTCTGCATGCTGAGAAGGGGCTTTCCAGCTGTCTCTGCCTTGTGCAAATTGGGGGTAGGGTGAGGGGGAGGAATCAGGCCTCTCTTCCTCTCAGGTTCATGAGCTGATGTTTAATGGGCCCCTGAAGGGTCTCTGGATCCACACCAACAGCTCAGACTGTTCACTCCCAGTCCAGGCCCAGCCTCTCATTAATCACAGCACTATCTTCCCCAGGTGCTGATGGATAAACTATCCTTGGACCCAGAGGAGCCTGGCTTTGCTCTGCCGCATAGGAGGTACGGTGATGTGGGCAGAGTCAGTGTGACAAGGATCACATCAGGATGACAACCCTGAAAACCCACCCTGGATCAAATTTCCTCCCCACACTGGGCTTCCAGGCCAGCTTTGCCTGAGGGGCGTTCTATTAGGTTTCCAGGTCAAACGTGTGTTCCTCACGTAAGCAATCAAGCTCTGTGCTTTTTTTGCTCAAGAAGCCATGAGCTGCCCTGCTCAGGGGGTCTGTTGTAGTCACCATCCTGCAGTGACCTGTGGGGGACAGGGAGCCTGTCCTAATACACAGGTGAATGTGGTGTCCAACAAAGCTTAGCTCAAAATCAACAGCCGTGAAGTTCCCATCATTCCTGCTCTCTTAGTTCATTCTTTCAGTTCTTGCCCCCACAGTCCTTAAACCGTGGGTTTACGTTGCCTTTTCCCCCCCCCCGTTGTATGTTTTAAGGACTCTGTTGATTTCAAGGGGAGTGTGGTGGCTTTGTAGGATAAGCACCAGACTGCAAACCACAAGGACAGAGGTTTGAGCCTACCAGATGCTCTGCTGGAGAAAGACGAGGGTTTGCTCCTACAAAGATTTACAGCCTTGGAAACCCTATGTAGGGTCACTATGAGTCGAGTCGGAACCGAGTAGATGGCACTTAACAACAATAATTGATTTTCAGGAGGCATTGGGTGGTGTGAATAGTTAATGTGCTTGACTGCTAACTGAAAGTTTGGCAGTTCGAGTCCACTAAGAGGAACCTCAGAAGAAAGGTCTGGCAATCCACTTCTGAAACAGCAGTCACTGCAAATCCTACTGGGCACAATTCTACTTGGGCTCTAGCCATTCCTGTCCTATCATCTCTTGTCATGCCTACATTTCTATTCTGTTTTCACCTCTTGTCACTAATTTCTAATCAACTGTTCCTCCTTTCCTCTTGGGGATTTGCAATTGCTGACTTCTTATCCAGGTTTTCAAGTGCCAGTGCGAACCCCACCTCCTTCAAGCAGCTCTCAACCTATCAACACACACAGGCTCCAGGTGTCTCCTACTGACATGTCCTACCACAATGACTGAGTCACATTCTGTGCCCGGCCCTATTCTAGAAGGCAGGAGACCTTGTGGTAGAGAGTATGGGTTCTGGAGCCTCTCTTCCTGACTGCCATTATCTCTGGGATCTAGGGGTATTTAGGCCTCAACTGCCTCACCTGTAAAATCGGGTGACAGTAGTGCCCACGACACAGTGCTTCTATGAAGATTCTATTGGACAAGGCATTAACGCACATGGTCCACCATACAGCAGCTCTGTCTATTCTTCTGCTTCTTGTGTTGCTACAAAAACAATCTTCACAACCTCAGACAATCTTATGACAGCTGAGTACCTGGCAGGGATGGTGTTCCTGCAGCAGTCAGCCCAGTTAATTGTTGAACTGAAAACAAGTCAGATCGTCCTGGTTATTCAAGATGGCACTGAGAGGAGGCTTCAGAAAGCTTGTGGGAAAATGGAATGAAGAGATAATAGAATTTCTCCATGAGCTTTTAAAATCCCCTCATATTTAGGTTTTGTAGACCATAGGTCCCTCTTTCAGCTACTCAATGTTTACTGCGCAAGCAGGCACAATTTGTAAATGAATGGGTGTGGCTATGTTCCAATAAAACTTTCTTTGCATCAACAGGCAGGGGAGCAGATTTTGTCTGTGGGTCATAGTTTGCCAACTCCTGATTTAGGATAACACATTTGTGGCCGTAACACCTTTAAATGTCAGCAAATACTCATTAGCTAACATATTTGTGTAGAAATTCTGGTCTCTTTTTACCATCTGTTTCAAGTCTTAGATTTATATTTTGCAATATTGGCTGCTAGAAACTTACATGACTATCTAAAATCTAAACCAATGAGTTGATGCCAATGCATAGTGACCCTATTGGATGGAGCAGATTGTCCCTAGCGACCCTATAGTGACCCTATTGGATGGAGCAGATTGTCCCTAGCGACCCTATAGTGACC